AGTTTACAATTATTGAATTCTCCTTTTAATATGTCTGTGTTCAGTCTTTCTTTATGGATCAGGGATAATTTTTAGTTCGGATTGAAATGTTCAAGACTCCATTTTGCACGTTTCTTGAAATATTTATATCATCTCTAAATACAGCATCCTAGTAAAACTCTTGAGCTACATATAATACACAAACAACAACCCTAAAATAACTAAGAAAAAACGGAATATATAAACAAATATGTATAAACTTGAATAACCACTACTGCTGCAATATGCACAATAATTTACTTTCTTCAGGCATCGTAACTTTTATTTTTCGAAAAAAAAATGTCGGTTTGTTCGTGTGGAGTAGAAAATGCTTTCTATGCACGCATTACTTTATATACGACTTTCATAAAATGTGATTTTTATTGGGCTCTGCAAGCTATGAACAATTTAGTCAAATGAAGTCGGTTCTGGGTCCAATATATGTCAGCATTTGGGCAACGCAATAAGATATGGGCAATTTTCCATGGGACCAATATGTTGGAACCACGCGATGTGGATTCGTTGCTAGGGTTGGTTCTGAATTGGAACATTTTTCTAAAGTTTAATGGAAAAATGTTACCTAGATTTTAAATAAAATTACACTTTGATGTCTCAAAAGGTTAGATAGAAATGCACTTATTATATGTCATACCCATCTATTGCTAGAGCTGTGTCTTTTTATCCCCGAAGGGGTAGGCAGAAGTGCCCATTATGACACTTAGATGACACTGACAATGTAACACCCACTTTTTTACTATTTATGTTAAGTGTCTCAAGTAATAGAGGGTGAGCCTATATACCGGGCATAATTTCAAACTACGTACTACTACTGACTGAGTATTTTTTTAAAAACCCAGTAATACTTTGCCCGACCCGGGAATCGAATCCAAGACCCCGGCAGTCACCTCGACTCGGCCAACGAGGCAGTCCGTCAATCAGTCCGGTACAGTCAGAAACCTGAAAAAGTCTCAATATACTTTATCGACCCCAGTATCAAACCCGAAATATCTTGTTCAGCAATAGTACTTTCGACTATCAAGACAATAAATTAGTAAAATTATAATATAATTTAAATCTTAGCTCTGTACGATATCTGATTTTATTCCGACAGCACCCGTCTAATTGTTTCAAATTAATACAAAAGCCTTATCATTAATCTTGTGTTAATTGAATTTGACTTAATCCGTTTTAGTTACTTGTAAAACTAATTAGTCTGTCTTGTAGATCTAATGTCTAGCTACTACTGAGATCAATTCTATTCCTAACTCATTATAGAAAAGAAAGATCCTTTTTGTATTTTCATTATTCAGCAGAAATATCTAATTAACTACAGATTCTTAGGTACTATAGATAAATCTTTATTATATAGCCTGTGACATTGCGCCTTTATTTTTTATGTAAGGTAACCCTGTAATGAGCATGTAAATAAGCATGTAAGTGAGCATGTTAAAGAACAAAAATTGACTTTAACATGCTCACTTGACTGCACGGTTGGTGCGGTGCCGCCGCCGTTCAACGTGTCGCGGGTTCGATTCCCGCACGAGACAACACTTTGTGTGATCCACAGATTGTTGTTTCGGGTCTGGGTGTCATTGTGTATGTGAACTTGTATGTTTGTAAACGCACCCACGATACAGGAGAAAATCCTATTGTGGGGCAACGTTTTAATAAAAAAAAATTAAATAACCGAAAGATTTGAAATTTAAAACTCAACAATGCAATATTCAGTGAACATTGCAATGTTCATGTTACAACATGTAACGGATCATTTTATTCGAAATTTAAACCTTAACCTAACTTATTAACTCTAAACAAACGCGTTCTCCTGCAACTTGCAACCTAATGTTGCATGACGGTAGAATTACACGAACCGATGATACAGTAACGCAGCTGCACGTTCGCTTTATTACGTACCTTTATTAGGGTTGTTACATCGGGATATTTTTCTTACTTTTCTTATTTTCTAAGTATATTACATCGTTTTATTACATTCTCTAATGCAGCAGCAAGTTATCTAAGAAATATTTGTTGAATATCGTAATACACTAAGAGTAAATGCAAGTATATGAATGTATGGAATAATAAAAGGACTATTATTAGTTTTTATAGAATTGATTAGAACTCTTTGCTTGATATTATGAGACCAGACAGTATAGGACATGAGGGAATTGGAGGCGATAACTATAAATCGTAACGTTAAAAAAAATACGGAACCCTAACTAGTTAAAACTCAATATTTGTTTCAGCAAAGTTCTGAATTGATATGGGTTATTTTAAAAGTAGGTATATTTGAAACGTATTGTGATATTTGCGAGTATAAATAACAAACAAAACAACCAATAAACGATGTAATAAAAAAATATTTATAAAAGAACCAAATATATTATTTCATCTATCTAACATAAAATAACATCACACCTTTTATCCTCGAAGGCGTAGGCCGAGGTGCACATTCGGCACTTAATGCCAATGTACAATGTAACACCCACTTTTCACTATTTATGTTATGACTCACATGTAATAGGGGATGAGTCTATTGTCATATATAAAGGTACCGGATGCGATTCTAGACTCCATTCTACAACTGAGACTTTTTACCCAGTAATACTTTGCCTCACCCGGGTATCGAACCGAAGACCCCTTGCCGCGTCGCACTTACAACCACTCAACCAACGAGGCCGTCATACCACATCAGTGTTATATTGTTTCTCAATTACACTATTTAGGAAATTGTTTTCGGACACATCCTCTTATCCTTGATAGCTATCAGATTTACCTATAATAGGCAAACCTTTGTAAACAATGAATGCTTTGTTCTTAAGTTATTTATTTAGCTATTTATATAAACAATAGGAGATAATTATCTCCTATACACACATAGATAGCGGATCAATATTTTGAGATGAAATTACTGTAGTTAAAGTAACTGATACTATTTCCCTTGAATTTTTCTTCCGTATTTATAAATTGACCCTAAAAAAACGTTATAAATATTTCTGTATGTGTATGTTAGTATTGATAGATGGATGGATATGAAAAGAATTAATAATAGTATGGCTTTTATAACGATTGTTCGTCATACATACCTGTGTAATAAATTCACTTATTTAGGACTAAATTATGTCCTAAATTAAAATAAAATGATAAATTAAAAATACATTTAATTAACATATTAAGGGCCGATTTTTCAATCATTAGTTAATTCTTAACTGAGAAATAACTTTGAATATTTGAGAATTCTTCCATACTGACTCTCAAATGTCAATTTTATTCTATAGTTAAGAATTAACTGATGATTAAAAAATTGACCCTAAATCAAATTTAAATTTAATTTTAATAAAATTTTAATATTTTTAATAACTGTTGTAAATAAAACTTACGAAGTACTTTGAAACTGTTTTAATTTCAAAGTATTACTTGTATACCGACAAGGACAACGCTTCGATTCATGTAATAATCATAGACAGAGCAGGAGAATCATAGACGCTCAATGACAGAGATAAGACCAAAAACAATGGTATAAGGTACAAATATTACAACAGTGACAAAGATCTTAAAATTTGTGTTAGTATCTTTTAGATGTTATAGGACTATAACTTAAGATTCATGAAATAACTAGCGGACGTTATTACGAACGAACATAAACTTCCTCTTACTTCTGAGAATAAAATCAAAAATAAAATTCAACCACTAAAGAGTTTCTTAAAAAAAAAACATTTGACTTCTATACACGTGCTATACAGGTACTCGTACAAGTATGAACACGAGTAACATATTAAGAAATAAGGAAAACCCTTAGGCATCTTATAAAAAACAATATTTTTCAAAGTTATTTCTGTTATGTGTTATGTATTCCCAATAAATTATAATTAGATAAATGCTATTACTCAATTGAAGAATACCGTAATGATAATATTATTATTTCTTGACAATTTTAATGTGGCCTACCGTATTTTTCCTAACCAGATGGCGTTAATGTGAACTTCTTGTTCTTCGTCCAATAGGGAATTAACTAGTATTACCTCATTGGACGTCCAATATTTAACAACTGCAGTGATTGGACTAAAAATCTCTTCCGACATTTGCGCCATCCAGTGACCAGAAATACAATTTTCATTGCTATTGTACTAATTTTATTTCAAATGTAATATTCTAATAATGCTTCTAATGTAATATATTTGTATATTTATAATGGCAAGACATAGTGGACCAACTTTATATGTAAGACCTTATTACGTAAACTACCCATGTTTAACGAATAAATGATTCTGATTATGATTAGAAGAATACGTTTAATATTCTAACGCTTACGCAATCGAACATACTATTTACCACCACTTACTACTCCACAATATCAATATGGAAATATGTCATTTTATAAATTCATATATCAATTCATAAAGCACATTCATAATTTCGACCATTACCGTTTGTTGTAAATGTTATTCCTAACTTGAAACCTTAAACGTAATTGTAATTAAAGTACTAATTCTGTTGTCATAATCGTAATTATGTTAGCGAAAAGCGTCCTACAGATTCGTTCTCTTTTGGTACCCTCTTTGTAATATTTAAGGCGAATTTAATATGTAGGCAAGAGGTAGAAAGGACGTTCCATCACAGTTTTCGTCAGGTTTAATGAAAGAGATGGATTGTGTACACATTGTTTGAAGAACAAACATGCATATAGATGAATAAAGAAATTTGGGAAAATTTATTATAGACTTTGAAACCGTACAAAATTAGAACTACCGTACAAAAAAATTGTATTCAAGGCTATCAAATTTAACCCTAATAGGTGCCTAAAACTCTACAGTATTAAATTTTAGCTTTCTTTGTTTGTTAAAAAAGCTTATAAAAACATGCGCTAATAACATTAGCTAACGGGACTTTAAACGATAGTGACGCCATCTAGGTAGTTCAAAAACAAAAACACAACATGACTCTTTTCGAAATCGATTTTAACATATTTTTTTCTTGTCCAGAAACGCGCACGCCGCTTCAAGAACCAAATCCTGTGCGACCTGCACTTCGCTGACGTGGCGCTGATGGAGTGCAGCGACTTCATGCAGCAGCTGCGCAGCTTTAAACCCCAGTCCCTGGGCTGCGCCGTCGCCAGGCGCAAGTCTTCTACCACACTCATATTCCCGCTGCCTCCACAAGCCTGCTCAGGTAAGCTGAAAATATAGAAGCATTAGGTACGCTTTTGTTCTCAAACGTCGCTTAGTACATAAATAGGTAGAGATAATATTAAATACTTTGGACGTAATACGTTTACAGCACGTACGATCTAATATGAGATCAATAATGATGATTTGTATATATAAGTCTTAATTAATTATGTATTCCTTCTAGTTTTAGTATGTATACAAAACTTTTACTTTCATATTAGTGTATAATTTTCTATGTGATATTAATTTAATATTATCTAAAACACATTTTATAAAACTGTAAACATATTCTTTGTCGTACCATATATATTATTCATTCCTCTAAATGATGATTTATTTATGGAAGAAGAAAATTATTTTCTGTATGTAATTGAGTAAAGAGCCACTCGACACAGTTCAGAGCTCTTGACGTATCCAGGGCGGCCGGTAGCTTATTCGCGACCAGACAGGTACTTCCGATGGACATGAACCTATTTCGAGACACTTTTTAATATGAATATGGGATTAATAACATTAGAAATGTTTCGCTTCGAATATGAGGACATATTTTTTTACCTTAGATACATTATTATTTTGTTTATGTCTCCATAAAATATACATACATACATAACCAAGCCTATCTGCCATGGGGGTATCTCCCCTAGACAGAGAGTATGGAACGCCAATTGCTACGATCCTTACATACCTCTTTCGCTTCATCAACAGTCGTCAGCCTTTCCATGCATGCTCTTCAATTAAGGATAGTTTTAATTCGGTAGTTAATATCTTACTCTTCCGTGTGTATTTTTATTGAAATTTTACATAGTTTGGTATTAGCAGGGTTGTTACAACTTTAACGTTTAACTTGTAACACTTATAATTAATTTCAACTCTTTTATCCTTCGTCGTCTCTCCTTTGTTATATCCAACAGTACCTCTATTATATGAAAGGAATTCCTGATTCTTATTGGATATCTTAATGTCACATGTACACCTTTAATTCTAATCTTGGTACACTTTCATAAAACTCTCATGGAAAAACAACCATACTAATGCTGCTACTCAACCCAAAACACTTTCAACAATTTTGTACTTTACTTCCCTCTATCAGGGTTCATTATAACTTGTCAAATCAGATACTCCTTACTGTCTAAGTAGCGCTTAAGATCTGTATCTTAAGTTGAGAGAAGCTAGTTCCACTGTAGGGTCGTTAATTTGCTCTTTGGCACCACTTTCGGACCATAAGATAGATATCAGATGACCTTGAATTACAGATTTTGAGATAAAGCGATTATACTTATAGTATTTGAGGGTATCGTATCTTTCGTTGGGTTTTAATCTAGTCGTCAAGCGTAACTCTTGTTTGAAACCTTTGATTAGATTCATGGAAACTTTTTTATTTTATTTCCTCAAATTACCAGTGCAACATAGCTTTAATATCTAGGGCTGAACATTAAAATTCCACCTTATGAAGAATACAAGAATAACAAGTGAATGTTACTCTAAAACAAAACACTATCGACATATATCTTATTTACACAACATCTGAGAAATACAACTGAAGTATATACTATGAATGTATGTCTCAAGATTGGCTTATACATAACAAAATCAACGTTTACAAGTCAACGACCTCTGTCTCCGTAAGATTGAAGGAATTTAAATAATGCATGAGAAACTTGAGACAAATATTTGCAAGTACATTGTGTACGTACTTTCTTATGTAGGTATTGTAAGTATGTATGCTTATTCATACATTGTTCTGTTAGGATTCTGTTGATACATATGTACATACGTTTTCCAATTTGTCTCTCTGTGGTAGGGGTAGGTAGGTAGAGGAAGATTTATCATGAAGCATGCACGTATCACCACAGTTTTCAACCTTATGTTCTTAATCAACTGACACATTACCTGTGTTCGTTTGTGATACATAAGTATTACCTAAGTAAGAAAGGTTCGAAATGCTATTTGAGACAAAGGTGAGGTGAATAAAACCATGAACTCGATATATTCAGCTATCTAACCCCTCCACCTTGACTGATTGTGTTTATACAATTGTCACGTACCAATAAAAACTTATACCTAGCACGTGCTCACTCGAAGCCAATTTACATCGTTTTCTAGCAGCACATATCGAATGAAAACAGCAGATAATATAAAATCGATTCAAGGTTCAGAGTTCCCATTTTCACATACATTTCAATCTAGCTGATTTCAATCTTTATCCTATCAAAATATCTTCTTTGCAATCCAATAAGTGTCTGCGCAAATATTTGTCGAGAGGTTCAACCCTGAAATGTGATCGCTTAAAAATATGTCGTGTTAATCGGTCAGCGACCGCAATTAGTCTGGTACTAAAGTCTGATAATGCTGACAAAACCTCTGCAGACCGCCCTATGGACTGGGGCCGTGCCAATTTTCCGGCTAATTGACAAGATTAAACGCGGCAACCATTCGCTTCTCCTTTTAAGCGTTCCTAAATTCAGAGAACTGAATAATTACGTCGAGTTTTACTTTCATTCAAATGAAGATTTCGCCAAGTTTGAGCGGAATTAGTGCGAAGTAAAGAGTTTATTCCGTCTTAATGCTACTTTAATTTAACAGGTTACGTTGCGAATTAGTTGTAACGCTCAGAGGGCGCGCGGGTTAAACTTTTAGTTGTAATGTTGTAAATGATACAGGGCTGTCTGTCAAGAGTTTATGTACTTTGCTCTTTGACCCACGCTTGTAAATCCCAGTGGATTAGAGACAGGTATGCTTTCGTACGCCCACAGTCCGCTAGTAATAAATATTTCAGTAATGTTTTAGTACTTTCCCGTTTAAAAATAGCCTGTTTTATTTCACATTCTGTTATGAACAACAATTGTTTACTTACTAAGAAACATCCGTAGAAGATGTTAATTTTTAGTGTTATTTAAATGGCCATACTTTCAATCTCACTTTTCTAAAACTAGAGGATAGTTAAATGATATGTGATACCTATAGTTCGTTTCAACCCTTAACAAAAAGTATAACTATGAAACGTGTTAATGTTATCTTTTGAATAGTTATGATACCTATTTTCCAAAGTAGAGTTAAGCAATTGTGACATTAAATGTGAATTTAATATTATACTTAACAAAACATAACAATAATAATATACTTACGTACAGTGTACCATCTTAATTTTTTTCACTAAAACATCAAACATAACCCAGAAACTATTTTCCAAAAAAATTATAAATTACAGACAGGATCCTGGATATATGGTTCAAAATTGTTAGTCCTCGCCTTCGGGACAGAAGCTATGAGCTGTCAGATGCGTAAAACAGCGGTCAGTCAATAACTGTCAACAGGGAATGGAGAAAGCATGTTACCACCTCACATACGTCGAGCTGAATTTACTACGAATAATATTATGAACGTGAACCTTGGGCTATACTAAACTGGGTATACTTTGGTTTCGTGACTTTAGAGCGCCAAATCAATGGTAGATATTGAGAAAAGGATGTTTGAAGCACCTTGTTTTGTACAAATTACTAAAAAAATATCAGAAGACAAATTACCAAAAAAAAATAAGAAAAGTAACTAGTCCTATCAAATTTGAACCAAAAACCACAAAATGACATTTCCCACAACAAAACCTCAATATATATAAAAAAATAAAACACAATGTATTTATTTTCATTGCCTTTCGGCATCCTGACGTTCACCGCCGAAGGGGCCGTCAACATTTTTTGACGATAGTCCCCCAATGATCACGAAACGGAATGCAAGGAAACTTAATTTCCTCTCCGTTCCCTGTTTAGGCACATCAAAATCCTGAGACGACGGTAAAAAGTTTTCTAATAATAAACCCACCGGCCGTCTGCATCGCCCACACAGGAAGGCATTCGCAAACAAGTACAGTGTAGGTTTGTTGGCATACAATATTTAGGCCTCGTTATTTTTTCACGTAGGTAGCCCTTTTTGTTGCTACTGTGTGTATACGGTAATGCATTGTCAACACTTTTCGGAACTCGGGAGATCGTTATGAAGTCCGCGCGGACGTGTCTTCCAAAATTCATATTGTACGTGTTTGGACTCTTTTGGTCTTTTGGACGTGCATTCAAACTTTTTGGATGCGGAAACTAAGTTTGTAGCAACACTGTATGTTTGTAGTAATTCCTCCATTAACATTTGTATTTTTTAGATAACATTTCAGTATTATTGAGCGGATAAGAGTAGTAACTTAATCTATCACACCTCTCCAATCCCTAAGGAAGTATCTAACCTACCCTTAATTTGAAAAACGCATACATGATTTCACGTGTGGTAGTAAATCCAGATCTCCCACAGCCAAACAAAAACAAAACAACATTGGATAGTGTTGTTCTCGTAATACCTTATTTTCTTAACAACTCGTTTCGATACTGTAGTTAAGGGTGTTAGTGAAGAAACGTGCCAGTTGCAACCTCCGGGGGGAGGAATCGTTCTCCAAAACTGTTTGTGTCGGTCCATTCTGTGTACCTTAATATATTTGCAAAAGTTCCACCCTTCTGCCAACTTTCTGTATCCGAAACGGCTTAACCTGGATTCGGTAATGTGAAAAATAGTGGGAAAGAAGTAATTTTTCTTTCCCTTTTTGAACACGAGTTATTTTGGGGTTTATTTAAGGGTTCTGGACCACATTAGTTGTGGGATGAAAAGATTTATCTTTTTTAAATGTTTATGCATATAAATAGCCAAAAAAACTGGTGTGGTCCTTTTTTGTCCTCTACGTTACAACTGAATTACATGATTTAAAGATAGTTAGTATCTAAGTTTAAAAAAAGAAAAGAAAAAAGAAAAGTTTTTCTTTTTTTTGAAGAGTTCCAATGCTTTTTGGTTTCAAATTAAAAAAAAAGAAGAGAAATAAATTCTTCATTTTTTATTTCGAAACAGAATACCACTAGGATAATAATTATGAATACATAACTTTGTTAGAATGAGTTTAGATGAAATTCGTGATTCTAATGAACCATGACCTATATCAATAAACAAATATAATACTTTTACTGACGT